TAAATTCACAATTTCACAAATAAATTATATAAACAATAAATTCACAAATTCACAAATAAATTATATACACAATAAATTCACCAAATCACGAATAAATTCACAAATTCACAAATAAATTATATACAAGAATAAATTCACAAATAAATTATATAAACAATAAATTCACAAATTCACAAATAAATATATACACAATAAATTCACCAAATCACGAATAAATTCACAAATAATAGTATATGTTATATACTATTACTATATGTTTTGTACTATATACTAAATTCTAAATACTATATCTTATAATATACTACATAATATATGTTACATACTATATACTACATATTATATGTTATATACTACATACTAAATATTATATGTTATATACTACACATGTTATAACCTATATACTAAATATTATATGTTATACTATATATATACTAAATATTATATGTTATAAACATATATTTATATTTATATAAATTATAACATATATGTATATACTATGTATTAAAAGTACTATATACTATACAAAATCTTGATGTTTCAATGATAAGAACAAAAGTTGCGTAAAAATATCAGCGATAGCCTAGCGCGGCCTAATGGTAACGAGGTGCCCCCAGAGATAACGGACTCACCCGAACCCGGGTTCGAGTCCCGAATCTGGGATCCTTAGTACCATTTTTTTTGACATGTAAAACGTACGTTTTATAATTAATTAATTGTAAAACGTATTCCCAGAATACGTTTATCTTTATTTTTTTTAAAAACGTAATACAAAAACACGTTTTAAACTGTAAGTTTTAAGAAAAAAAAACTGGTAATTCCCTACTTTAACCAAAAAATACCTGTTTTAAATATTCAAAACAACCAACTAAACAAAAATTACACCGAGCGAATCAACTAATCTACTGTAAATACCATCCAAACAATTCAAAAAAAATCATTCAAACAAATACGATTTTATTAAACCATCCAAACAAAATAAAATAACAATCCAACCAAATCCAAAAGAACCCTCCTAACAAATCCGAATAAACACTAACAAAATCTAGTTCCCCCACTCATCACGAAGTCTAGACCTATCGGTGGGAGGATGTGAGGACGGACACTCATCGACAACATGATCGGGATTATCACATCTGGAACACTGTCCCCTATCATTCCTGCGGCGCGCCCGACGATCCATTTGCATGCGATAGCGTCTCGTTTGCTTGCGACCGGGTCCAGGCTTCAAGATTATCCTCTCCCAATGTGGTATCAAATTCCATCCCACCGGCGCCCATGTATCCGCAGTACCAACTGGAGCAAAACCCCAATTAATAAATTGAGCTACCCAAGTCTCCGTCCAAAATGATTTATCGTACAACAACTTTGGATCAGTCTTGATTTCACGAGCTACAGCTATTGCATGAGTGCACGGTTTCCTGTGTGTTTGCCACTTCAAACAACTACAACGTTTCCGGGGGTAATTAACCTTATAGCTGTTAACACAAACAATGATTTATATATATAAACATTGAAATATTTGAATGGAAAAAAATGAAAAAAAGAAAAAAACATATACCTGTTTTGCCCTCTCCCACTAGCCCGAAGACCGGTTTTCACCCTGTACCTGGACATTTCGGAGTTCACACATTTCACCTCATGGGTTGCGGCTATACGCTCCAATTCCAAATAGGCGTTATAGTGCTCAGTAGCAATGAGACTCATGCATCTCGTGGCCTTCCTTTGTTCCTGTTCGAACAAATCAAGAGTTTTTTCCAATGTGGCCTGTACCAAAGCTCTGCACGGCAGGAACCTAACGCCTTTCAAGATGTTGTTGTAGCTCTCCGACATATTGGTCGTCAATGTGCCCCATCTATGTCTTCTTTCATCTCCATACAGGGTCCACTTGTCCAAAGGAATGTCGATAAGGTACTTGTGTGCCTGGGGATTAAATTCCAACAGTCGCTATTCTGTCGCTCGAAACTTTCGCTCTGACAATTGCGAACCCAAATCCCAACACCAATCACAGACTTTCCTATTCCTAAAGTTAGTGACCACGTTGCTTCGAAGGTGTCGAAGACAAATCCGGTGATATGCAGCGGGTTCTTGCCAACCAACCAACGAGTCAATGGCACTGAGTATGCCGTTATCCCTGTCGGAGAGAACACAGATCTGTCGGTCGAGCACAACATATTGCCGCACATTTGTAAGGAAAAATGACCAGCTATCCTTGCTTTCTTCATCAACAATCGCATAGGCGATTGGCAATAGCCGCTTATTCGCTGTCTGTGCTATAGCCACAAGCAGTTTTCCCTTGTACGATCCGTGCAAGTGTGTGCCATCGATGCTAATGACCGGCGGACATCGTTGGAAGGTATGAATGGCGGGACCAAACGCCTAGAATACAAATTTGAATTGTCTGTCTTCATACTGATGCGCCATTTCCCCACCCTGCCATTCCCACTGTACAACTGTGGTGGGATTCACTCTTTGAAGCGCGGCGAAAAACCTGCAAAAAAAAAAAAAATACAATTTCGTAAGTAGATAAACATAGTAACCGACAAACGACACATGTATTTGTAATTAAGTTTTGCTTACCGAGGGAGTTCTGCGAAGTTCGATTCCCAACAGCCATACACACGCTCGATGGCTTTTCTCCTTCCGTGCCATGCCTTTTTGTAGCTGACATCGACTTTCCAGCACTGTTTCACATCGGCCTGGATAAGTCTAACGTTGTAGTCCAGTTTCTTTTCAATCTTGTTAATTACAAGATTTGAAATCATACGAGCGGTTACGTTTCTGTGGTCATTTCTCTCGACCCGTTGCATACAAGTGTGTCTGTCAGTCCATTCAGTTATTTCCCACATTTCATGAACCCGTTTCTTAGTCACCCGAGCCTTCCACACACAAGGTTCATCTTCATTAGATCTGCACACCACTTTGCATGACTTCTGATTAGAATCTATTGTCCGAACCGCCCTCAGCCTATCAACGTTCCAAGCCAACAGACCCCATTGTGCTTCTTCCTTGCTTTTAAGAACTGTACCCAAACGTATGGTCTCAATGTCGCCATTCCAACGTGGAAGAGCATACTCGTTCTCATTTATCTTCGATGGCTCCCATTCACCCATCTCGCGATAAATGTGGCAACCACCACTAGGAAGAGGGTCTTCCTCTTTAATCAATTCGGGTTCACTCTCCTCATTTATCGATCTGTCTGATTCGCTTTCGGAGGTCTCATCTGTGAAATCATCTTCACCAGGAATGAAATCTTCATCGCCTTCTTCTTCTTCCCAGTTCTCATTTTCCCATTGTATTGTTGAGCTTGTCCCTTCTCCAAAATTACGTAGATGGGAAGTCGACGTACCATCAACATCCACCTCTCCCCCGTAACACCCCCACACATCCTCAACCTGTGTAACCGGTTGCCTCCAACGATAAATGCAAATACACCGTGGACATAGGAGTAAGGTAATAAATATACTGAAGAACACTTTCGTTATTGAGTGTTAAGAAATTCAACGAACCATCGCGTTGCTCAACTATTAAAGTAATCTCCTTCATTGTCCAACCTTCTCCGAACCAACAATTTTCATTAATCAGTTCTACCAATTGTTGATATGATATCCTCTCCGGAATAAACAATGAACCATCCGGACGATCTTTAAATAAAACAAATTCACTTAACCTTTCCGTCGCAAAATGCCAGTCCAAATTAACAAAATATGGACCGGAAAATGCCATTAATACCTGTTGCAAAAAGACACTTTCAATTCTTCCCAATTACAACAACACATGATGTCTAATATCTAATCCAACACAAAAAAAATCAATTATTTCGGATAAATTTGAAAGCCCTAATTCTAACCCTAATTTCGAAAACCCTAAGCCCAACAACAACCAACAAATACATAACTAACAATTTATAACAAAATTCTAATCTCCAATTCAACATATACACATATTCGATAAACAATTAACAATCCCCAATGTTCAAACAACACCACATTCAAACATACTATAACAATTCCAATTTCCAAACAACTCCGAATAATGTAATAAGTTAAGATAAGCCAATATACCTTGTGCGAATGAATTAACCGGAAATGAGACTCGTGTCGTTGTTGTCGATTTGCGTCGGGTAGAATTGGATCGCGTTTTTTTTTTCCGCAGTTCTTCTTCGCAAGCTCGCAATCGAGAAATGGAAATGGATGGTAGAAATGGAGCTGGGCAAGTGAGGGAGAAGAAAGATTTTTTTTTTTTTTATATTTCATTCAAAAACGTATTCTCAGAATACGTTTTACTTGTAATTATTTGTAATACGTATTCGCAAAATACGTTTCTGTTTTTTATTTTTTTTATTGGTAAATTCAAATTTATAAACGTATTTTCAAAATACGTTTTATAATTACTATTTTTAATTCCCTTCAACGACTATTAAACGGAATTTTTTTTTTCAAAAACATTTGAAAAACGTATTACGAGAATACGTTTTTCTAATAAAATTATTCTCAGAATACGTGTTTTTGATTGTTTTCCACTTCTTTTTATTTTTTATTTTTTATTTTTGTCCATTTAGTTTTTTCTTTTTTTAAATAAATAAATCACCCGGAAATGCTAGATGTGTTTCCAACAGTTAAAACATAGCATTTCCCATTAATTGGTATTTTGATTGCTAAGCAAAGGTCTAAAATCTAGATGCCAAGCTTCTAAAGGCTTGACAAACCTTTGATCTCCAGACTCCAGTCTCCAAAGCAGTACACTGTATACTCTTCCGTTTTCTTTTCTTTTCTTTTTTTCCTTTTCCCTTTTCTTTTCGTTTCTGAACCTAAAGGACTTGGAAACGGAGGTCGACCAAATTGAGGAAAGCACTCGCTCTTATGAGTTATGACCAAAATCGGACCTCATTATTTCGCAAACTTTAAACGATCACTGAAAATGGCGCTGGACCCTTCCCCGTACCCCGCCACCCACACAAACCACCGCTGGGGATTAAACCCCCTCCACCACCACCCACCCGATTACGACGTCGTCTCCGCCAACAAAGCCATAACATCCTGCTGGCAAGCCGGCGACGTCGACCGCGCTCGCCACCTGTTCGACTCCATGCCCCTCCGCACCGCCGCCTCCTGGAACACCATCATCACCGGATACTCCAAATCCGACATGCTCCAACAAGCCCTGAGCCTCTTCTCCACCATGCTTCGTTCTAACGTCAGCCCCAACGAGACTACTTTTTCTCTTTCTCTAAGCGTCTGCGGGCGCGTGGGCTCCCTGTCGGGCGGGACCCAGATCCACGCCCTAGTCCTAAAATCCGGACACGTGAAATTCGAGCACGTGGGAAGCTCATTGCTACATGTGTACGCGAGTTGTTCACGAATTTGGGATGCACGCATGGTGTTTGATGAATTAATCGAGGATAACGACCTGTTGTGGAGTCCGATGCTGGCGGGTTTTGTGGATTGTGGTCTAATGGATCACGCATGCAACGTGTTCGATAAAATGCCTAAACGTGGCGTGGTCGAGTGGACCACTTTGATTTCGGGCTATGCGAAGAGCGACAATGGGTTCGAGAAAGCGTTAGAGCTTTTCAACATGATGAGGGAGAGCACGGTCCACGATGGCCCGAATGAGTTCACTTTAGATTGTTTGGTCAGGGGTTGTTCGGCTTCCGGTGACTTGTCCACCGGTAGAACTCTTCACGGGCTTGTAATCAAGTCCGGGCTCGAGCGCGAGCACTCGGTTTGTGGAGCCTTGGTTTGTTTGTACAGTAAATACGAGTCCATGGATGAAGCCCAAACAGTTTGCAACAGCGTGTCGGGCCTAGCCTTGGGCAACATGAATGAGTTGATCGGTGGGTTCGTGAATTTAAGAAAGATTGAAAATGCCGAGTCGATTTTTTTCGGCATGCCCGAGAAAAATCCCGTCACCTACAACATAATGATCAAAGGGTATGCATCGTGCGGAAGGTTTGACGACTCGGAAAAGTTGTTCATGCAAATGCCCGTCAAGACTTTGAGTTCCCTAAACACTATGATCATGGCATACGCCAAGAACGGTGAGCTCGAGAAGGCCGTGAACCTCTTCGAGAAGGCGAAAAACGAGAAGAGCCCCATTACATGGAACTCGATAATTACGGGATACATTCTAAACGATCTCCACGAGGACGCTTTCACACTATACCTAGCCATGTGTAGATCATCCGTACCTCAGACGAGGTCGACATTTTCGATTCTATTCCATGCTTGCGCTTGCACGGGGTCCCTACAACAGGGCCGTCTACTCCACGCCCATTTATCGAAAACCCCATTTTCTTCAAACGTATTCGTGGGCACGTCACTCATCGACATGTACTCGAAATGCGGGAGCATGAGTGACGCGAAAACGGCATTCATGTCCGTATCGTCCCCCAACGTGGCGGCCTGGACGGCCCTCATTAACGGGCTCGCGTACCACAGGCCCGGCCCAGAAGTCGTCTCGCTCTTCGGGCTCATGCTGGAGAGCGGGGTGGGCCCGAATGCCGCGACATTCGTGGCCGTGCTGTCTGCGTGCGCGCGTTCGGGCTCGGTGGGCCCGGGGCTGAGGCTCTTCCGCTCGATGACTGAGGATTACGGGATCGAGCCTGCTGTGGAGCATTTGACGTGCGTGGTGGATCTTCTGGGGCGGGCGGGGCTCCTGCGCGAAGCGGAGGAGCTCGTCGAGACCGCAGAAATTGAGGCGGACGGGTTTCTGCTCATCTCGTTGCTGCATGCCAGCTGGCACTGGATGGACGTGGGGATGGCTGAGAGGGTGGAAAGAAGGATGGTGGAGATGGGTGTCGGTCGAAGTGCGTCCGCGTGTGTTATTGTGTCGAATGTGTATTCGGGATTGGGGAAATGGGAGGAGAAGAAGGGAGTGAGGGATGCGTTGAGAGATTTGGGGGGGAAGAAGGATCCTGGGTGGAGTTGGGTTGATGTGAACAATAGGACTCGTGTGTTTTCTGTTGACTGTAGAGGGAATCCGGAGTCTGATGTGATCTATGCAAATTTGGAGTCCCTCAGTGTGAATGGATATTATTGTAGTAATGAGTTTGATTCTTTTTCTCTTTTCAGTTAATAGAAGTATCCATATGTGTGGGATTAACTTTCTGCATGCAAATAGCCTTGCCTTAAAATTCTTTCTTTTCATACGTACCCCTCCTCTCATAGTGTTTCTAGGACTTGAGACTTTGAGGGTAAATTACAGAAATTATCACAAAAATTTATGTCAACTTCTAGTTATTTCACTCCCCATCCAACTTTTTATTTTTTATTTTATTTTATTTTATTTTTTTTAAATGAACCGGCCAGGTGGGTCGACTAGGAGACCGAACCAGTCCGGGTGGGTCATTACAATCGGTTAAGAAAGGACCCGGCCAAAATCATCCAAAACCCTGCCCACATTGTCGACCGGGACATTGACCCGACTGGGTTAACCCGGTTAAACCTTTTTTTTTTTCGAAACGATAGAAGATATTATATAACAAAAACGCACAAATGTGCAAAGTACACAGTCCATGGCTGAATAATACAGCCAACAGCTGAATAAAACTGGGAGGACAGGTCTAAAAGACCGCCTAGAGACGACTAGCAACGCTAGAAAAAAAACTCACAATGACACAACACCAACGACCTAAATGCGGAACGACCCCAAACGAGGTAATGTGGAACGACCCCCAACGAGGTAATGTGGGACGACTCCAACGGAGTAATCCCTTCACAGGGGTCAAGTGACCCAAACCTAAAATACAAGACAGACACAAACAGACTAATCCAAACCAAACCAAAACACAAACATAGATAACAAGAACACAAAAACACAAAATAAATAAACTAAAAGCCTAAACAAGGAACAAATTAAGCCCTTCCCCAGCAGAACATCAAGTCGAACCAGTGGATGAACCATCAATTTCAGGGAGAGATCCAAAAGCCCATGAACAGCCACCGAAACTGCCAACCGGCCTATACAAGCAGCCGAACCCGAACACCAAACCAATCCCCAAAACGACGCACCTCCAATCTCAAGGAACATCAAACAGACTCCCCACACCGGCACCACCAGAAACACGTCTAACACCACTAGCCGGGCCCGGTAGCACCAAAGCTCCTCGTTCCCAACACCAGAGAAAAACGAGGGGGTGGGAGCAATACAGTTCCTCGACTCCGACTACCCCGACATAATGCGTCACAGCAGACGGATCCCAGCCCCACCCGCTGACCCGCACCTCCCCCAACACCATCCCTGTCACGCCAGCAACCAGAGATCCCAAACGGTCCGTAAGCCTCGCCGGAAAGGAGAAGGTCGACCGAGGAGACGACCGAGAAGACGCCTCTAAGCACGGACCAAAAGAATAAATAGTCTTACCTCCACCAATCACCATCCCTCCGATGACCAAGGAAGAACCACCAATCGCGGACCAGTTGGGGACGAAGGGGCAGACTATCGCTGGAAAACTCGCCGTTGACCGAGGCCAGGATTCCAATTGCAGGTCGATAAGGGCGAAATCGGGAGAGAGCGACATCAGGGGTGAGCCGAGGAGTCAGAGGGGTCCTCCGGCCAAAGCCCGACGACGCTGGGGAAGGCAATCGACTTCAATTTTGAAGATGAGCGCCGGCGAGAAAAGGGGATCAGATATCGCGAGAGAAGAGAGATTTTATTTTTAACCCGGTTAAACCTGACCATTATATTTTTTATGTAGTATTTTTTACTTTAAAAATAAAAAATATTTATGTATAAATATGTGATAAATATTTATGATTAGATACAATATTCTTAAAATTTTTAGCTATATAATTTACATATAAATTATTGATTTTTGTTATTTTCTGTGTATATGTATAACAAAAAATTTGTACATATATAATTTAAAAATTTAAAAATTAGTTTTTTGGTCAACAATTGATCCGGTGACCCATATGCTTGCCCAGGTCGATTATCGGGCTATGTTTGAAAACAATATTCCCGTTCATACTCGTATATGATAAATACATGGTGAATAGATTCATTACCTTCCATTAACGCCACAAAGTGGTAAGCAAAAATGGTATTGTACCGATTTTACGGTTCCATGTTTCGTAAGTGTAAGACATAGAATAAATTCTCAAAATCAGGTTGAATGGAAAATTTATTCTAAAGTTGAAATGTGAGTTAATTTGAGTTTATACAACGCAAAATTGAGTTTAAAGTAACTAAAAAATTATTAGATTCACAAACGTTTTGTCTTTGACGAATGTTTGGAAAATCCAGAAGAACCATATCATGCAGTAAGCATGCTAGAACTTTAAAAGGGTTTGTTGGGGAATGAGTAGGAAAAAAAGGGAACACGATTCTAAGTCCGAAGGACGACATATGGGCTCCCAACGCATAGGCGTACATTAGGCCCGTCGCTGGCGCGACGAGTCGAACAACCCATCAATTGGGCGCGAAGACCCATTGCGGGTGCGACATGCATGCTTTCCGGACGCACTTACTCATGCCGAAACTGTTCCAACTCAGTTTTGATGTCTTTTGATGCCACGAACCCCATGTAGATATCCAAGGACATCTATAATACCCTATGACTTGAAATTGATAACATATGAAGTGACATTTTAACATAAGATATGAAATGAAATAGAACATAAGATAGTTAATGTTATTCTTGTGTTCATTATTATTTCTTCACTTCGTGAGAGTTCTAAGCTCGAGTAAGTTCGGCAAAACCTTGTGTATTTGAAGTGTCAATATACACAAGATAAAAATTGTTGTATCTTGGTGAAGTTTGTCGAGAGTTGGGGAATTAATCAGTGGCAATTTCGTCTTACGGAATATGTGTCTCACGTGCATAGACTTTCATTGGTTATGCGAGTTATTTGTCCAAATTTGTTAGAGGATCTTGTTCGTAGTTGTCCCCCAGAAAGATAACGATATACATAGGCATCATAGTTGGATGTTTTGCATCATAATGATTTTTTATGTATAAATCTTTTGCTTAACAGACTAGACGACTCACTTATAATGTGTATAACCATTTAAGACGTTTAAAGAGTTGTTGTACTCTTTGGGAATGAAGTAGAAAATGGAAGACACTCGGCACTAAGGAGTTTCTTGTCAGTAAATTCCTTTAGTACAGGATGACTGACACTGTTTGTAGTATTTTTGGGTAAGTGGTAACCGAGCTACCCGGACTCGAGTCGTTCTACAAGAAAAGCTATTCGGACACAGATTCAAGCAACGATTGACTCGCACGAAAGAAAAATAAAAGGTCCTAAACATTCTACTCGCATTTTGGTGGTTGAATTAAGCTAAAGATCACAATTTTAAACTAGACTAAAGCAAGATTAGAATTCTAAAGCAAGCAAGTCCTCAAATTGCATGAAAAAGGAAAATAAAGAGAAAAATAACAAGGTACCCTAGACCCGAGATGGAAAGAAGGCACTCATAGGTTCGGGAACATGCAATCAAACAATCGTCACTCGTGATCAATTAATCGAGCTATCAATCAATTCTCGCTCACGCAATTAAGCTCACGCAATCAACAACACAATCACATAATCCCTAGCCTACGAGGATGATAGCATAATCGACTCATGGAAGCTCTTATCTTAACCCTAGAAGGATCTATAAGTGAAGACAAACAAGACTTACGACATCCTAGACCTTCAACTAAGTCTCCAATTGGACCTTAAACGAAGTCTCCAAGTCTCTAGTGCATCCACGAGAAGAAATAAGCCGAAAAATTGTAATCTTGATGGAGAAATATTACAATAAAAATAGGGTCTTAGAGCCCTTAGAGAGAGAAAGAAAACTAGAGAGAAGGAGGAGAGAAAAACTAAAAGGAAAATTTTAGCAAATGAGAAATTATTCCAAAAATACAAAACACAATGTCTATTTATAGCTACACCTCAACACACACTAAAAACACACACATTTAATGAGGAAAACTCGCAGGTAAGGTCGATTTCACGAGCAAAAGGTGGATTTTCGCGGGCTGGAGCAAGGTCGCGAGTGTGGCTTGGGGTAGGCGCGGACTCGCGGGCACTAGTGAGACTCGCGGGCGCGGGCAGGGACACTTGCTAGTCAGGTAGCGCACTGGGGAACTCGCGAGCAAAGAGGATTTCGCGGGCGCGGGTTGTGAAACTCGCGGGCAGGGGCTCTGGGGAACTCGCGAGCAAACCTCCGTTTCGCGGGCGCGGATGGAGAAGACTTGCGGGTGCGCGGCTTCGATCAGGGAACTCGTGTCGTGGGCAGATCTCCGTTTCGCGGGCGCGAACGAACGGACTCGTGGGTAAGGGCTGCGCACCAGGGCACTCGCGGGCAGCAGGCGACTTCGCGGGCACGGAGCTGGGGAACTCGCGACCTGGCAGGAACATGGCTCGGCACTCGCGGGCTCCAGTGCTTTCGCGGGCGCGGGAATTGGCTCCTTAGGCTCGATTAGCTCTAATTCCTCACTCGCTTATCTGATTGACTTGAAACTTCGACCTACGCTCCTCAAATCTTCTTCTCTTTGTCTTGAGATGTATAAATGGGTGTCACCAACAATTAATAAATATGCTCTAAACGGATCGAAAATGGTTCGCGTGGCTCGAAAATGTCTCGAAAATGGCTCGTCTTCCCAAACACGAACAATTTGGACCTAGTCAACACCAAAGAGACAAGAAAATTATGCCGAACTACAAAAAACACAAAACGAGAGCAAGAATGCACGAAACACGATAAAATAGACCGGTCGACACTAAAACGACCTAGAAGTACTAAACTCAAGCACATAAAACACACGAAAATAAGCACAAAAACACAATAAACAGACACAAAGTCACTTGTCAACCAATTTCAAGAGTTTCATATCATACTTCATGATATGTTGGCTGAAAAATTGATTGTGAATGAAGCTTTTCAAGTGGTGAAAACTGTCGAAATGTCTTCTTTATGGAAGGACTTCAAGAGTTGTCTCATGCATAAAGACAAAGAGATGAAACCTGCTGATTTGATAGTTTAACTTCAGATAGAAAAGGATATTCGAAAATCTAAAGTATTGGTTAAAAGAGTAAGATAAAGGCTAAGATAAATTGTCCGAGCCGATTTCAAGTAAGAAACTTAAAAACTCTTCTCAAGGCAAACTGAAATGGAATGCCAAGAAATCCAATGGATGCTCCTATGTTGGTGACAACTCAAGTACTATGCCAAAGATTGCTAATTTTTTAAGAGGGGAAAATTTTCGATGACAAGATAAAACTTGTAGAGCTCGATCGTTCTGTCGTGGTTCGTGTATTTACTTGATTACAAATTCATGTTAAAGTGGATAGTGACAACAACCACTTGACCTACAGACACTTGTAAAATAATATTTTATCCTACAATCCAAGCAACAGAAGAATGTATTTTGTGTAAACTTATTTTATTTTATTTTTTTTCCGAAACGATAGATGATATTATAGCACCATTGTAAACAAATACAACCTAAGAGTCAAATGACTCTAATAAGGAGAACCACCCTCACGGGGGTGCTCTAAAACAACAACATATAAATACACTAACACTCTATGACATCACCTTTGAACCTGTACACACTAAGGCCAGCCAAAAGGGTCTGTCAACCTTATGTTGCTCCAGCACAAGGATATCACAGAGTCATACAACTCAAACCTCCTACTGCAACAGACAGATAATCCAAGAGAAAAGAAGAGAAAATAAAACTAGAACCAATAAAATACAGACCATCTGAAACAACACTACCATAATGCAATAGAATTCAAACAACAAAATCAGAATCAGAAATCAGAACCCTTCTTCTATGAGCAAACTCCTGCCATTCACTGAGTGCCATTTTGACAACAGACATATCAGACATCTACTCCTTCTTGATGACCCACAAGTTTCTTGCCTTCCATAACCACCATAAGATGTAGGTGGTTAGTTCTATTCTTTCCTTTGAAACCTCCAGCTTGTTGACTGAGCACACATCTCCCCATCAGGTTTTGAACTTAGTCACTGAGCTTAAGGTTATGTTCCACTGGACTGGAGCTGCTTTCCAAACTTCTTTGGCTTTGCTACAATGAAAGAAGATGTGCTCAACTGTCTCCACTTCCTCCCCGCAGGATTGGCAAATGCCATCAACCAGCATTCATCTTTTCCTGAGAATAGCTTTCACAGGTAGAGCTTCAGGATGTTTGCACTGTCTGTCTCATTAAACATCTGCTTCACTAGAGCTGAATTCCATCTTCTGCCACATGCTTCCAAAAGTTCCCAAACCCATTGAATATCAGTATTGGTAGATACATCTCTTTGAGGACATCCTGAACTTGAATTGCAAATCCAAGGATCTTGCCAAATGTGAGTAGTCAGCCCATCCCCAATTTGAATCTTAAAGCAGTGCTTATATCTGTCTTTAACCTTCTTCCAGGTGGTCCACAGCCAAGAAGCACTTTTGGTGACTCCAGCTTTGAAAATGCAACCAGTTGAGAAATATTTACACTTCAAGAACTTACTAACCAAAAGATTGGGCACAGAAGCAATTCTCCACATCTGCTTAAGAATTAACGCATCATTAAACAATTAAAGATCATGAAATCCCAGACCCCCCATAATATTAGGGAGAGTGACAGCATGCCAAGTTTTCCAGTGAATACCAGCTGAGTGTTCACTGCCATTTCCCCACCAGAATTTAGCATAGATTTTGGCAATTTCTGCAAACAGACTTTGGCAATGCAAAGCATGACATGGTAAACACATGCAAAGCATTAAGAATCGAGTTAATCAACACCTCTTTACCAGCTAAAGATAGAAAGTTATTCTTCCAACTTGAAACTCTTTTTCTCACAGCATCAATCACATAATCAAAAGTCTATTTCTTGGATCTTCCAATCCCTAGGAGCAGGCCCAAATACTTAGAAGATCTGTGCACTTGTACCCCTTGGAGAAGATTACAAATCTCAGTCTGAGTATCAGTAGGCACATTTTTGCTGAAGAAGATAGACGATTTCAAGAGATTTACTTTCTGACCAGTCAGTCTGTGGTTGCTGTTCAGGATTCTCAAAACAGAAGATATTGAATAAGCATTAGCACCACAAAATAGAAGAGAATCATCTGTAAATAATAAATGTGACTGCCTCATACCACCCCTAGCAAGCGTCACACCTCTGATATTGCCACATGAAACTTCTCTCTTTATCAACACAGAAAACAGCTCAGACACTAAAATAAATAGATAAGGGGATAGGGGATCCCTTGTCTAATTCCTCTAGAAGGATCAAAATAGCCACAAATGTTCCCATTTAAGTTCAGAGAGAAAGAAGTAGAAGACACACATTTCATTATCCAATCAACAAAAGTTAACTGAAACCCAAATTTCAATAACACTTTTCTAATGCAACTCCATTCAAGTCTGTCATAGGCTTTTCTTATGTCCTGATGCAACTCCATTCAAGTCTGTCGTAGGCTTTCCTTACGTCCAGCTTTACAGCTAAAAAACTCTGCCTACCAGTTCTGTGTCGATTGAGGAAATGAATCACTTCATGTGCCATAATGACATTATCCAAGAGCTGCCTACCAAGGATATAGGCAGCTTGACTCTCACTAACACATAAATGAAGAACTGATTTCATTTTAGTAGCAAGAATTTTTGCAATGATCTTGTAAGCCACTTCACATAAACTGATGGGACGAAAATCAGCCAAAGCAACAGGATTGAGACACTTGGGAATCAGGATGATTATACTGCGGTTCCAGCTATGAAAAAGAATTTTCGATTCAAAGAAGCTGCTCACAGCATGGCAAAGATCATACTTGATGATAGGCCAAAAGTGTTGAAAGAATAGAGGAGACAAACCTGTGACTCCTGGAGCTTTTTCAGGATTCATAGAGAACAATGCAGATTGGACTTCATCCTCCTCCACTTTTGCAATAAGGTTTTGAGTGATTGAGTGTGAGATGACATTATGAATTAGTTGAAGAATGTCACTATCATTAGAGGACCCTTCAGATGAAAATAGATAGTTGTAAAACGTAATGACTTCAGCTTCAATATCCTCCTTAGAGACACAAACTCTGCCCCCTACAGCTACAAGTCTAGTGATGACATTAGTTTTCCTTCTTTGTATAGTGAGAGCATGAAAAAATTTAGTATTTTGATCTCCTTCTTTTACCCACAGATTTCTGGACTATTGCTTCGAAAACATTTCTTCTGAATATTGAGCTTCATTGAGTTTTTTTCTAAGCTTTTCCCAATTCTCCCAGTTCTTTCCACCACTTTGCAGTCTCATCTCTTCCAGCTGGAGGGAGAACTTTTCAATTTACTGCGCATTGTTGGTCTTGAAGGCTTGGCTCAATTGAGTAGAGCAATTCTGGTATGTTTGAGCTTTTCCTGATATTTGAACATAGGGGTACCTGTGCCTTGAACATCACAAGCTTGCTATACCATAGATTGGACACCTTCTCTAGTAAGCCACCTCTTATCAAACTGGAATCGGGATTTTTTAAAATGAGTACAACTGACATCTTTGTTTAGCACCAATAGGCTGTGATCTGATGAGGTTTTGAAGAAATTCATCACTTTGGCATTGGAATTTTTGGCAGTCCAGTGACAAGAGCTAAACACCCTATCCAACTTTTCTTCAATGAAGCTGTCATGAGTTCTATTGTTGGACCAAGTGAATTGGTGACCCACCATAGTGACTTCTAGCATTCCCATATGACTGATGAAGTTATGAAATTCTCTCGTCTCATTTGGATTCTTGTCTCTGCCACCAATATTCTCATGAGCATCCATAATAACATTCCAATCTTCACCAATAATCTAATCCTGTCCCCACTTATGTTTAGCCTGAATGAGGAATTCCCACTGATCTGCTCTAATCCCCCTGGCAGTACTTATATATACAAATACCAACCAAAATGATCCCACCGCACTAGGATTACCCACTTCCACTTACAAGCAAAATGAATGACTGATAATTTGCAGGATGATTTGATTCTTGTCCCACATAAGAGTGGGCCCTCCACTAGCACCAATGGGATCCATGGAAATCCATATAATGTTAAACCCCAAACTGTTGCAAACATTCTTAACAAAATCTCTTTGCCTTTTAGTCTCTGACAGAAAAATGAAGCTAGGGTGGTAGACTCTAATAGAGTCCTTTATCTATAAAATTGTAGAAGGCCCACCTAAACCTCTACAGTTCCACAGAATCAGCTTGATTTATTCTGTTGGGGCCATTTTAGGATGGCATCCTCCACCTTAGCAATGTTGACCTTGGATTTTTTCTGTCTTCTGAGTGTTTGAATCTCTGAAAACTCTTCTCCACTATGCTCAACCTCTGGCTTTCTATCCATTTTTTAATGTCTCTTGACTGCTTCCTGCTATTGGGATAGATTGATGGCTGAGGAGTCTACCCTTATTGACTTTAATTCTTTTCCATCCTTTGGACTTGATGCTTTTCTTGTCAGTTCTCTATGGCCTTTTTAGTGAAAGTTCAGCTTGTGAGATCAGTTCTGAATTTAGCTCCCTCATAATATGATCCTTCACATTAGCTTCTGAGATGATGGCTAGTTGCTTGTTTGAACCTTCCTTGCCATTGTTAGCTGGAGATTGAGTCCACTGAATTTGGGGTGTGGAGACTCTCTTTGAACTGGTTGCACCTACTTCACATCTGCTAGCCAAATTGGTATGTTGCTGGGCTTCTTCCTCTTCTGCCATGGATTCTGAGCCTAGCCTTTGATTTGCCCCAAAATTATCTTTACTGCATGAACCTTGATGCTTATTATTAAAACCATGGGGGGAGTTGTCTTCTTGATTTGTCTGGTAACTGAATTGATTGTATTTTGAGGTAAATCCCCCATCAGAGGCTTTCAACCATGCCTCATATTTTCCTTCTTTCAAACAACCTTGTTCAATGTCAACCAGCCTCTTACTGCAAACTTTGTCCAAATGCCCCAACCTACCACAATAATAGCATAAATTGACAAGCCTCTCATACTGAAAGCTTATTAGAACTTGCTGATCATTCAGCCTCCTGCGAGTACACCTAGGTAAAGGCTCTGTTATATCTGAAGTAATAAAAAGTCGAATATAACTCCCTTTGCTACCTCCAGCCTTCACCACTGACACATTTTTTACTTTCTTAAAGATTTTCCCAATCTTAACTCCAACCTCAGCACTTAGCCAATTGAATGGCACATTCCCACTTGAACGCAGAGATTTAGAAGGTTAAACCCTTTGTGATTGTTTCCCATACCTTTTTCCCATTCCATCAATATGAGATATTGATTCTCAAATATCCAATGTACACCCGACACTACTTTCTTTTTATCCTCTATACTTCCAAAAATAATTTGAAAGAAGTTGTGGTTTAGCTCTTTTACCTCGACCGGTTGCTTGATTTGCCAAATGGAACTCATTGTGCGCTTGATTCCCAGAAGAGATGCCTTCCGGTCTCTAACAAATTTCCCAAATAAATTGTATTCGCATTCCTCTGCACTTGCTCTAATATCCTCCACTTCTAGGTCAATGAAGCCATTCTCTGCTCCCTCCAACTCAATATGTTTCAGTCGCCGCCTAATATCTTCCATCAATCCTTCAGGATTCTTATCTGACAATGGATTAGTATCCATTAGCCCCAACTGGGAAACACTAGCCTCCCCAAAGGAAATGCGAAGGGAAAATCCAAAGAGTAAATTGAAACTCTCAAAGAGAGAATATGCGAAATGCGACGAAGATGAATTAAGAATCACAGAGCCCTCCCACCAGGAGAATCGCGATCTCCCATGAGAGAGAATTATCAATTATGAAAAGTTATTTAGTTACTTGTGTAATCTTATTGAATAAGGTCAAATTTAGATATATTTATGAGATCGACAAATATGTTATGTCGAGGTATAGTTTATTCTTAGCAAAAGCGAACCTTGATGTTCTCATTCAAAAATATTGTATCAATTGAAATTCGTTGTTTGATGAAGAATAAAAATAAGTTTGTCTTATTTTTTTGATTTTTCTAAATTATGGTATGATAAATTAAGACTTATGAATTATAACACTAAAGTTGTTGAATCCATAAAGGACTTATGAGTTTTAACAATAATGTTGGTGAATCTAAAGTTTATTCATACAACAACTACATAAATTGCGTTAAAATAAAAAGTGACGAAAGCATCATCTTACTCGGTTACTAGATAGACTAATCCTCTCGTGATAATTTACACTGTTGAATGTGATTTAAGAGTTTTTGCAAACTTGAGTAGAAAATAAATATTTTATGTACGAATGCACAACGTATTGTCATAAAGCTTTTGTAGATTTAAGCCACATAAGAATGAGGTAAATATTCGATGAAATAGTTGAAAGAAAGACTCACTCTTTATTAGGTGATAATTTCTTGTTGATAAGCTTGAATTTAATATAAAACCTTATGTGGGAAGCAATTATTTTGACGAAAATTACATTCACATGAAACACACCACACACCACACATGGCTTGAAGGATAAAAAAGCCAAGATAGATTGTCCATTTGACTTATATAAAGGGGCAAAATCTATCATATATATAAATGAGTTGTGGGGTTTGGGCCAAGGTAAAAGTACCTAAATATTGGCTTGAAAAGTTTGGTAAATCTATTTTGTCGAAAGAATGACCATATTAGTCTATATTAAAGGTTTGCCGACTCTTTGTGAGCGTAAATCTTATGTGAAGTTATCTTGAAAACAATTATGATGTTCATAAATACCAAGAAGATAAACTTTGACATGTAAGATTAATTTGTAAGAAAATCAATTTAATTTCTTAGATTAAGTTTCTAAGAGATCGGCAAAGAATTGTTTTGTCACAATTTCATAATGTAAAAGCATTTTGAAGAGGTTTGTTTTGTTGTTATTTTTACATTTTTTAAGTGTTTTATTTGTGTTCGTTTTATCTTAATTTTAGGGTTTTCTAGGTCTATTTAGTCGTTTTTTGCTAGTTTTTGTGTTTATCGTGTCATGTTGGTGTCTTGTGCTTTTTATTTCTATCTTAATACAATATTATGTAGGAACATTGCATTCCGGAGAGTTGCCTGAGAAAATCTCATCGTTTTTCAATGAAAGACGAGTCGTTGCCAAGGACCTAGGTCCCGTTGCCCGCGTTGCCGAGAAGACCTAAGTCTCGTTGCCCAGTACTCGTGCTGTTGCCGAGAAGACCTAGGTCTCGTCGACCCGCTACACCCCGCGCCCCCGCATCCACCCCAACACCATAGCACAATCGCGACCACCGACCTCGCCCGTGAACATCTCTCTCCAGCGAATTCCCCAGCCGGTACCCAGTGCACTCACGAGGCCAGCGAACTCTGTAATAATATTTGTATATTATTCTATTATTGTGGACCATATAATTAGTTGGACCTAATTGAATTAATAGTCAAACTTTATTAAAGGTGAATATGTATTTAATGAATTATTTAATGTTCTAATATTAAAGAGTCCAATTTGTGATGTTTGACTTGGACAGTAAGTTAGGTTAGAACATGAGGAATGTTAGTAGGAATAGGTTTGTAGGTCTCCTCCTATATATACTACATGCCCCTCTCTCCCATCTCATACGCAAATAAAGTTCTCAACATCAAGGGCTTTATGAAAAGACGAGAGACGCGGGAGAGAGAAACAATTCAAAGGCAAAGACAAATCCATCATTGGAGATTACGAGAAAGATAGATCCATGAAATTACGAGGAAGAGATGTCAGATCAACATCATAGATCAAGAAAACAGGGAAGGACTATAAGCTGGATTCTTGTAAGTTCTATGTGTAATTTAATTTATGCAAAGATCCATATTCTATGAATTGATAGAATTACATGCATAGGGTTTATTCAATTCCGCTTAATAGTTATGAATATGCCCGTTAAATTTCTTACATGTGGTATCAGAGAATGTGTTTTTGCATAATTATTTTACCGATTAAAGTTTGTGGCCATGCTGCGTATTGATCACTGCACATAATTCCGCACATAAATCATTGCCGCTTGATTGATTTGAATTGTTGTAATCAAGGTTTGTGGGTAATTCACGTGTGTTGGATTTTTAAATCCATTATGGTGCATCAAATATATACTTGAAAGCAATGAAGGTCTCACGCAACATATATATGCTTGCTGGGAATTTTGCAAATAATTGTTAGCATATGTTTTATTTGAGCAATGAAATTACTGGATTCTAGCAAATAATTGGCTGCTTACCGTGTGTTAGGAATTGCTTGAGTTATTACATTGTTGGATTCTTGTATACACGCATGAACGATATTACGGTAAAATCATATTCAATTGTTGAGGTTAATGAAAGTTTAAATATAATAACCTCATAATAAAATATTAACAATAAACTATATTAAAGTTAGGGTGATTGAGATATATTATAGTTTTGATAATCTCATAAAATACCCATCACATAGTTTCTAATTATATTATCTATGTAAAGATACTAGTTAGTCACCAAAGTGGCCTAGTTTAATTTATGAAATAGATAATTAAATTAGATAAAATATAATTAAAATAAAATATTATCTAATTATATTATCTATGTAAGAAACTAGTTAGTCACCAAAGTGGCCTAGTTTAATTTATGGAATAGATAATTAAATTAGATAAAAGTATCAATTATTCAAACGATGTCTTATTAATGTACCCTAATATTATAATATTTGAATAATTGATGTTATAGATTATAAACTAGAAGGACACCCAAAGGTGGGCCATGGTTTGTAATATATGACACTAAACGAGAAATTATATTAAAGTTAGGTTAATT